TACATTCTAAAAAAGACTCTAATTTTGCACTGAGAAGCAGAAAACTTTGGAATGGTAAGACGACTTTTAGACTGAAATTATTAATTTAAATAATGCAATTAACATAATGGACACAGTAGTGGCGCGATGTTGACAGGCCCATTTCACAATTAATATGTGATTTATAGGAGTACCATTTGCGTTGTACTCCCTCAAATAAAATTAATTAATGCTTCAATGTCGTCTTCCTATTTCATATTTACTGGTTTTACTAGTTTTATTGTACAGATACATATAAGGTTTTGTTTTGTAATTTTAACACTAGGCGATCCATGGCACTTCGCGACCATCTTTGATTTTAACTTTTCACTGTTGCTTTTCAATCGATTTTTCTCGTTAGTTTTGAAAAATTTAATTTTTTAAAGGGACATTTTTTCAATTCTAACCATCTTAAACCTTTCATGGGAGATACCACAATAAATACGGACCCGATCGGTTCAGCCATTTTGACGTTTATCAGTTACAAACAAACAAACAGACAAATAAAGTATATATATATTGTTTAATCCTACCATATCTACTTCGTTCTTTGACTGTACTAAAGACGACTAGACGAGAACTTCCTTGAGAGAAGATAGAGCACTGCTGTCGTCTTCATGAGTTCCCAAGGTTTATATATGAATAAAAATCTGCAAGTTCACCGAGGCGAATTATTCCTAGGATAATAAAATTACGCAGTTTACGGTTTATGATGTCAAATATGAATGTTCATTCAATTCACAAGAAAATGTTTAGTTCCAAAAATAGCCTAACTTTATTTATTCTTTTTCAACGTGTACTATAAAAAAGGGACATTTTGTGCTGTTTTTGGACTCAACAACTATACTCGTTTCTTAATCTTAATCATCGTACGCAATTATTTTAAAGATGACGCATTTATGAGGAATGAGAACGTACGCTATAATAAGAGAAAACAAACAAGAAAGAGCGTACTGTGATTGACACACACGATTTTGGCATTTGTAGATAGATAGATAGTAGATGCCTCAACTTTGTGAGGATTATAGGGACCATGCAAACTTAATTTCAAGTGATTCTCTGTTGAAAGAGTAGCATGTCTGATTCACAACGGTACCTTTGAAAGCTGTGTCTGATATTTCAATTAGAATATCATTTTTTATGTTTTTAAAAACTAATTATTATCATTTGTGCTTTCTCTTCAAAGTAACTAGCGCATTTTCTTGCTTCAGACACGATTTTGAAATTAAACACTTTTCAAGCTAAAAAAACAATGTTATCTTCAACATTATTGATAATTTTAAGGTTTCAAGGGTACCGTTTGGAATCTAACATGCCCTTCTTTTTTTAATGAAGGGTTAGTTAAAATTACAAAGATAGTTTTCCTTAATACTCAAATATAATTATATCCGGGTTACCCGCAAAGGATGAGACTTCAGAGACGATTGTACGGAATTTATACTATCTTGTTTCTTCTTGTTTCTTATACAGGGTGTCCCAAAAAACATGGGAATTCAGCGACGAATTCGATATCGTCTTTTCAAATAATTCTTTGATTTAGTATAGTGATACCTACTGAGAAAGCTGTAATCTGTAAGAGTTTCGTCTGCTATGTTTACATTTTGTTTGTTTATGTTTTGACTGCAACCGGTTGTACTTAGTAAAACAAGAAAATTACAGAGTAAACTTGTCTGTCTTCACTGTTCATCTTGCGGAGACATTATACACACATTTTTGCAGTCTTTTACCCTTTTCATTAAATAAACTCTAGCAGACATAATAATATTATGGCTTTTGAAATTAGGTATTACAATGCTAATTCATAACAAAGACGATATCGAATTCGTCACTGAATTCCCATGTTTTTTGGGACACCCTGTATTTATGATCCCATGCAAATGTAAACTTATTTCTTTTCTTGCCAAATCATTAGATAAGCCATTAACAGGTAGAGGACTTAATTTAACCTTATTTCATGGACTTTGGGTCTTCTTTACAGTCTCATCCTTTGTGGGTATCCCTGCATATACAGGGTGTCTCAAATGAACGCTGTTTAAGGTACTGGAATGTTGCAGATATTTAGTTTTTTAATTAAATGGTTATATGGAGTTCTGTTCCCGCATATTCATGGCTATTTATTTATTTTTGCAAATACTGAGATTTACGTAAAATAGTATAACACCCATTGAAAAATTGTCAAGACGACATTTGATAAATTCTTTCGATGTATGGCTCATTTAGGGTTTAACTGTATGATTTTACACAGTGTAAAAATGTCCACCTCCCTTCTTGTTTTTTTACCAACGCTCAAACTAGAATTCTCATGATTTATGACTCTCATTGTTTGCAGTTTATGACTGAGTGTGCGTTGAATTATCTGTATAATATATATGATATATACAAATATATACTTTTTATTTGATATCCTGAATCCTAGTATTATCAGAATTATTAGAAACAAAATATCTGAAAATCATTGTTTTTGAAATGTTTCTATTAAATTGAGTTCCTTTAAGTTTTTTTTCTTCATATATAAGACAGGGGTGTGATTGCCTGGATTGCCAGGGGGGGGGGCGGTGGGCTAAAAGTTGTCCACCTTTACGTCATATCCCTATGCTACCCATCGCCGGGATCAATACAGGGTGTCCCACGAAACATGACAGTTGTTGAATAGTTTTGAATGTCTTCTTCCATATATTATATTGGATATCAACGACTTTTTGCGTGTCATTTCGTTAAAAACATCTTTTTTTCTCAAATAAATTTTACTTTGAAATCAATTTTACAATAATATAATTGGCAAACAATATACTTTATCATTCTTTTAATATCAAACAACTCAACTAATTATGAATCACGAAGTCATTTTAAACTATTTACCAACTGTCATGTTTCTGGGACACCCTGTATATAGTTATAAAGTGACATTTTTTCCATGTTCAGTTTTTTATGGTTTAGCGATAAATAGCATTAAGCTTTGGAGGTCAAAGACAGTTGAAACACCCATAATTAAAAAAAGGATCTCGGCCAAAACTGAATTCTGAACACTAAAAGAATCCTTGTTTTGATACCTTTAATGACGTCGGACACGCCTCAAAAAAAGACTAAATAGGAAACACCTCAACAAAATGAAGTTTTAAAAGTTTTTTTGAAAAATGGAAATAGTGAAAACGCGCCTTTAAAAAGAGGAAACACCTTAACTATAAGGAAACATCTCAAAAAATCTATAGTCTAAGATTTGCAAGATGAGGGCAGATGTTGTTAAATAATTGTTGAAAGAAGCACCCCCTTTAACCAGCCTGTGTATATATTAAACCTCTTTCTTTGCTTTAAATTTTGTTAAAAAGTGTCCTACAGCCTGTACTGTTCAGATCATCTATTTAATGGGACGTTATTTGGCATAATTTCAAGTGACCCTTTATGCAGCAGAGACAAGGAAAAATGCGGCTAGGATTAATTTTCTTTCTCATTCTCAATTCATCAAATTCTGAACATTGTCGTGCTATTTTCTATTTCCAATAAGGTAAGGGGGCGCCCCCACTGTAGGAAATTTTTGCAGTATTAGTATGAAAACTAGTAATTTTAGCTTGAATTTTATGTTATGTAGAATATTTTTTAATTTTCTACAACATAAGTAATGTTAGTTTGAACTTAATATATGTTAAAGTGAAAATTCGATTTCCCCTGAATTTGATGTTTTTTTATGTAAAGAGAACAGAATATATTAGAGGGGAATTTACTAGGAAAAAGTGTAAATCGGCCATTTTGTTGTACTGTTTCCATACTGCAGGTGTACTTCACATATTTATGCTATATAACCTTTTGGGCCCTGGAACATCATTTGCACCCCTCCCTGGATACGAGCCTGGGGAAGACTTATATTATAATATTGTTCCGATCTAACTTGCATGCACAGTGATGTTCCGGCCTTACTACTTAATTAAAATTGCAATATTGTTCCTAATTTACATGCATATAGTACTTGAACTTAATTTCTTTTTGGTCTTAACTTGCAATTTATGTTGACTATTGTTTTAAATTCATTTATAGTTCGAATGACGTTTATGCATAATGCGTATATGTATGTTTGCATTTTTTGTTCCTTACTTAATAAACCTGTAGGATGTTACCTTTATGTTTTTTTAGTGCATGAATAACAGTCCTTATTTTTTTTGCTTGTTCCTATAGCTGGCTCAAATGTCAATGTTCCTAATCTAGTTCTGTTTTCCTAATTAACTCGCCCAACATTTTTGTTATTGTATTGTTCCTTTTTTAACCTATAAAATGTTCAATTAGTTATTTTTTTGGTAACTGCTCCTAAAATCCTAAATTAGCTAGAACTAAATTATAAGCTGTTTTTGTTCCTAATTTAAGTATTTAAGTATCAATTCTTATCTATGATTTGATATACCAAGTTCTTTGTTTTTGTATTTAATTTATTTTTCCTGCAAATAACTTGAAAAATGGGTGGACAATGAACATACGATTAATTAAATCAAGAACATTATTTTATCGAAATTGGAAACATTTTTTGCCTCAAGATCTCAGGGGGGTGTTTGGGGCCCCCCTGAATCCGTCAGGGGGTGCGAAGGTACTCCCGTTCCCCCCCCCCCTGTGTCCGCCCTTTGGTCTTATATCTTATGGATAATGGAAAGTAAAATGGTTACGACTGTTCGTTTCGTTATCTGATAATCTCTTCGCGCCAGATAAATTCAAATAAAGTGAAAGCGGTTTTTTAAAAGCAAGCTTGTCATTGGTCAAATCGACTTATATACATTTCTCTAAGCCAATGAAATGCTAGTTGACAAAACCTTGATGTGGCGCTTTACTTTGCACACTGGTTAAAAAGTATCAAAAGTTCATAGAGAAATTATTGAAATTAAAACAATTATTTTTTATTTAAAACTTTATTTTCATCATATCTAAAAATTTTATTTTAAAGAAAAACTTTTCACCTAAGTTGGTTTTATTTAAACCGCTGTGGCAGGTTAAGCCGGCTTGAGTCGGGCCGGCTCTGGCTTTCCACACAAGCTCAATTACTAAGAATAATGGCGTCCAGTTAGACCATATTTTGTGCACGAAAGATTTATTTGATAATTAAGCCCTAAATAAAAGTGATCATGGGTGCTGGTGAGGATTTTCTATTGAAATGGAATGATCATCATTCTTTATTTTTCGCTGGAGCTGAAGAACTTTGTGATAGTGAAGAATATACAGATGTTACGCTGGCAGCAGGACAAAGATTTTTCTCAGCTCATAAACTCGTATTAAGCATTTGCTCGCCGTTCTTCAGAGCTTTATTTAAACGGCTGGGTGTCCACAAATCTGTGATATTTCTGAAGGATGTCGAGCCGAGGCATTTAGAGCTACTGCTGGAGTATATGTACAAAGGAGAAATTAAAGTTCAGGTATGAATATCATGATCATAATTTAACTGAAACCACATGGTACGGCCTAGTAAACGATTTATGGTCCCCCCCTCCCCCCTCCTATCAATATTGTACATGACTACTTATTTTTTAGAATAATTATGTGGCTAGGACAGGCTAGGGGGCTGAGCGCCCCGGCTAGTACAGGCTAGGGGGCTGAGCGCTCCCCCTCCTATCAATTTTGTACATGACCACTGTCTCAACAATTTTCAACAAAATAAGTTTATATTTAAAGGGAGTGTTTGCGAAAAATGAAAGGGGGTATAGGCTTAATGCGATAAAAAAGCGCTTTTGATCGCTACTAATATTTCTTCTATCTGTTGCGTCTATAAGGAGAAAATTGTTAAAGACGTCCATAAATCGTATATTAGGAAATTACCTACGGTTATCTTTATGATGTATTAATCGGTTTACTTTTAAGGATCAGTACATCTTTTTCCTCTTTCTGGCAAAAAAAATTCCTGTAATTTTTGGTTGAAATATCAAGTTTTTGGTACAAATTATTACAATCGTGTGTATGAGGGAGGGTATTCTGCAGGAATATTCTTGAAAGTACTGATTTTAGTACTTTAACCTACACGAATGTCAAAAGGGCCACTTCTAGTAAAATTTGAACCAATGGAAATATTTTTTAAGTTAATGACATTCTTATGTAAAGAGCTGGTTTAAATATGGATCAGCATAACTTTTCTAGATCCGCTGGATTCAATGATAAAGGTTGCCAACCTAAAACCAGCGTTTTGGAAAGGAATTATTTCAGTATTAATTAAAAAATGGATCCGGATCCAGGTCATTTCTTTAAGATTACTGAATTTTTATGACAAAAAATTATTTTCAAATTTTTTGTTTATTTGTTTCGCTTATTTTTATCCTAAAATTATTCAGAAATGAGGAAATGTTATAATCTCACTTTTTTCATAAGTTCAGATTTGGGTTTTAGGAGTAAAAAGTTTTTTTTGCAGTTTTTGGTCGATATTTTATCCCCCTTGGATCCGGATCCATAGATCCGCATATTTTTGCGGATCCGGATACAGGAAGCCAAAATCTTGCGGATCCAACGGATCCGGATACAGGAAGCATTGCATAGAATCATGATTCAGGACATGGGTCTTCCAGTCGTCTTCCTACTTTACATTTTCAAGGGTCTCACAGATGCCTTCAAAATTACATATTTCACAATATTTTATTTCTAGGAGAGTGAGTTAGTAAACGTATTGAATGCCGCACAGAGTCTCGAGATCAAAGGATTAACCGACAGCGGTCAGAAAACAGAGTCATCACATTCTAAACCCGACCCACCGAGACCCGTGAAACGCCCATCCCCTGGACCCGCCCCACACATAGAAAACTCAGTACGAAAACGCCCCAGACCCGAGCCTACCCAGCCAATCATCAGTGCCCCGCCCCCGACCGCCGAAGTCAACGTGAAGGAGGAGCAGGAGGTTATAGCAATACCCTCGGATACGGAGTGGGTTGAGCCGGGGGGCGGGACGGTGTCAGGTTACAATGAGGAAGAGGAGGGTGTGTACAACAGCACTGTGGCTACCGGCTATGAGGAGATGGGGTATGAAGGGGAGGAGTACTACAATGAGGAGGGGATGATGAATATGGGTGAAGGAGATGATAGGGTGAGTACCTTACGCATTTTTTAAATGGTACTTTCCGACATTTTTAAAATTCTTTTTCAAAACAAGGGATTTAAGTTTTCTTGGGACATTGATTAAACATTTCAGAATTATAACGCTAGTTAAAGGATATTTGTAATTTTAAGTGTTTTTCCACTTAAAGATGGGCATGTACGATTCAGAAAGGTACCCTTTAAAGCATTGTCTGATCAAGTATGAATTAGATATTGATGTTTATAGTTTTATAAATTAATCATTTTCACCAATTGTGTGTTCTCTCTCAAAGTGAATTGCGCATTTCTACTGCAGGAAAACATATAGGATTTATCAGAGTAAACAATTTTTAGATGACAACATCTTTCACATTGTAGATCAGAAAGGTTTCAAGGGTACCGTTGTAAATCGGGCATTGTATCTTTGCATGGAGTGTCACTTGAAATTACGCTTACTGTCCCTTTTAATGTTTTTAAAGCTTTAATTCTAGCTTTCGGGTAAAAACATATTTTAAGCAAAAATAAGGACCTTGAAAAAGAAAATCTGTAAATATATTCAGTAATTTATAAATATTCGCCCCCATTTTTATAAAACAGTATTTCTTATAAAAATATGTTTGATGTTGGAAGGTTTCATCCTTATTAATAGATATCTCACATTTCCTCATGGTATGTTAGATATCTACAAATATTGTAATATATCAATAATATGCACTTGGTAGGGGAGGCCTTGCAGTCGTATATATGTGTTAACCAGTTACTCGTTTTAAACATGATGTCTCGTTTTTTCTTGGTGAAATAGTCCATTTTATTTAAGCATGTAATCTTATGTTATTAATTTGATCCTTGCTCCTAGGTTGGGAGTTGGGACTACTATTCCAATCAATCCCTGTCATGTGAAATCTGTGGAAAAGCAAGCGCCACCAAGAAAGATTTGCAAAAGCACATGAATACCCACACTAAAGATAAACCCTTCCCTTGTCAGTATTGTAAGAAAGGGTTCGGGGATCCCAGTAATCGTCGGAAACATGAACGTAATGTGCATCTAAAAAATGTTATGGAAAATTCTGTTTCCAATGTGCCAACCTTCTAGCGCATGCAGTTGCTGTTTACATGGATTTTTAAAAATATACTTTTGCGGATTTACTTGTTATGCCATTAATTTACTGATGTATATCGTTAGGTTGAGTGTATCGAGACAGTGCAGCCTGACGGTTCAAGCTTTAGATCTTGGAAATGTGCTCTATGTGGGCACTCAAGCCGGTCAAGAGCTAATATTTATAAACATCAACTTGTACACAGCGGTCAGAAACCGTACACATGTACCGTCTGCTACAAATCCTTTGGGGATGCTAGCAATCGGAATAGACACATGAGAACAATTCATAAACAGTCAGCAGCCTCTGCTTTGTAATTAGTTATGTTTCATAAAAATACAATTTCATGTCGTGATAACATTTAGCGAGTTTCGTTTTTGTTGTTGCTAATTTGACCTTCTGGTTGCTTTGTAGATGATCTGTGAAGAGACTGGGGATGATGGTGTGAAAACCTTTGTCTGCACTGTATGTGGGAAGGTCTCGTCTACACGACCCAACGCTGTGAGACACGCTTACATTCACACTGGAGCTAAACCATATCCTTGTGGTTTCTGTGATACTTCATTTAATGATCAGAGTAATCGGAAACGACACATGAGAAGAAAGCATCAGATGGAATGATACCACTTCAAAAGGTTTCATTGAACAAATTTTATAAGTTAAGGCACATTTGAAGCACCGTGTCGACATCCGTACAAATGTGAGATAAATAAATATTTTGTGTCATTTCAAAGTTGAAATTTTTTTAAATTGCAATGTTCGTATTTAGCTTTTTATTTACTTTGCTATTTCTAGGTGACTGAATATACAGATGAAGAAGGAAAACTAATGTATCAGTGTGGGGGATGTAGCAAAATATCAAGTCACAAATGGAACTTGCAACGACACATGAGAACTCATAATGGGGAGAGGCCTTACCGTTGTTTTCACTGTGCCCAGCGGTTTTCTAGTTCAAGCAATAGAGCACGCCACTCTAAAAGTTGTAAATATACCCCACTTAAAACATAAATCAACTAGTTATGTACATTGTACAACATCTCTTGAAAATAAAGAGGATTTATTTAAGCTGAAATTTAGTATTCTATTTAATAATTATTAGTTATTATTCTGCTAAAATGGGTCTGTCCTAGTATACGATTTTTGGACCCCCCTNCTTCCGGATATAAGATACCATAGCTTCCGGATATAAGATACCATAGCTTCCGGATAGAAGATATCATAGATAGCTTCAATATTCCGTAGCTTCCTGATACAGTAACCATAGCTTTCAGATATAAGTTCTGTGGATATACTTATCATGTCTTCCAGATTTTAATCTTGATATTGTGCTTACAAGGATTTTATTAGAAACTATTTCTATGGCTCTCCATTATTATCGATCTCAAAAGTTCCTACAAGGTACAACGTCTCCGTCCATCACAAAATAAAAGTAAAAAAAATCAAATTAGCTCTACAAATAAAGTTGAGATTATTTTATTGTCAACAATGATTTTAGATTTGACGGATAATCATAATTGTTTAGATCATTTTCACCTCAAAAAGTTGTGAAGTTTATACATAATAAAAATGTCGTATGCCAGGGATTATATTTTTTCAAACTTTTGAAATAATATTTTGCCACAGATTTTTTTCCCGCAGCATAGTAAACAATTATTGCATTGTTTTCCCGTGCAACGGCGATTAAGGGAGGGAGGGGGGGGCATCAAGTCGAATATAATCTTTTTTGCATTAATTAGAAATATTTCTCTTAAATTTTATCTCTATTTGTCGGCAAATTCGTGATTTACATTTTGGTTTAAGCTTTGTTTATAGTTGGTAGCTACCTAAGTGTCAATGTCATGCATTTAGGTTAAAAATCTGAAAAACTTTTTCTAATAGCTGGCTCAAGACACTCTTCAGATTGTAGACAATTTGAAGAAATTGAATAAAGATTTTATACTATCTTGTAATATTAATAATTCCAAGCACTAGATGTATACATTTTGAGATGCATTATGTTAATATTTTCTATCCAAAACAGTTCACACAGGCAGAGTAACTACAGAGTAATTTGACAATCTGTTAATAAAAGAGAATTACCTAGGTAAAAGTGATACTTTTATTTCCCAACTAAATTCACATGGTCTCCCACTCCCCAAATTAAGAACTTTTTATTTTGGTTTTGGTTACTAAAGAATCAATTTTTGTTAAACTTTTATTAAGTTGTTATTGGAAAGCTTTTTTACAGTTATTATTTTCTTTCCAGGCCTTATCCTTTTTGTTGTCATAACTTCGGTTGATGTTGAAAATCTATTTCCTGCGAATAAATTTTCATGTTTACAATTTCAGAAAATATTAACTTATTGTTATCAAAAATGCGAGGTTGTATAATGTTGTTTCTTTACTAAAGTGTGGATCGGCGATGATTATTTAAGTCATAATAATCTTTGGCACCGTCATTTAAAAGCTGAAAGATTGCTATGGACATCTCTAAACGAACATGGCCCCGATTAAATATTTTTCCTTCGGATTTCCTGAAAAATAATTGGTACAATCCACAGCTTTCTATTTATCAAGCTACTGAAAGAATCGACACTGGTAAGGAGCCCAAAACAAATAATTAATGAAGAAACTGGTTATTTCAAATGTCGTCTTTTTCTGGAAATTTTAACGCTTGGTAGATTATTAACCAGGTTATATTGATCTTACTCATCTTACAGAAGGGTTTACGTATATGAATTTGTTTACCTGTACCAGTCGTTCCAGCATAGACGCTAGTATGCAGTGATAACTAGAAAACTGAGGAACAGGAAGACGACTTTAAAGCAATAATTAAGTGTATTTGATGTTGTTACAAAGTATGGCTATAGCTTTACTAGTAACTAATGTAAAATGGGTAATTTTACGCTGCACAATTGCTCATTTAATTGCTCGTTATTTAAAGCCATAAATTGAGTCTTAAAGTCGTCATCCTATTCCAAAGTTTTCAGGTTCTCACTGTAGTTCATGTTTTGATAAAAAGAGTGAATGATGAAGATTTTGCTGCTTCTGTTCGCCTTTGGTGCTTATTTCAGTTTCTCAACTGATTTGGTATTTAACAACAACATCCTAATATCTTCTTTAAAATAATTTTAAATTAAAAAAAAGTTGAAGGAAATCAAGTATACAACGCGATATTGAAGTTTGCAGCAAAATATTGGGCCCCCTCCGATGCATGCATGGCCATCGGAGCCTGCACATTTTAGATTCAATGCTAATTACTTCATCGGAGAGATGATACTTTATACTTAGTAAAAACTAATTACTCCACCGGAGTAATTAGTGTCCTGAGTAATAATAAACATCCCTCCGGTGGATTCATTGGTTAATTATCATCCCTTCGGCATGGAGTAATTAGTGTCCTGAGTTTAATTAACATCCCTCCGATGGAGTAATTACTATGAAATAAAAATGTGCAATCCCTCCGATTTTACCTCCGGTGGCCACTGCTTCGGCGCAGGGTACCGAATATGCGCCGCAGTAAACTTCAACCTCAAGCTAAACATTTAATAGGCGTCGGGCGTACCTTGGCGGAGGGGGGGATAGATAAAACTCCTAAGAATGCGCGAATACCGGATAATATTTCTTTAATTTTCTCTCTCTATGACAGCTTACCCTGATAGCTTGCTTCTATAGATAGTACAAGTTAAGGATGGTGTCATGTTCAAAATTGATAGGAGGGGGGTGTGGGGGGGGGTCCAAAAATCGTATACTAGGAAATTACCGCTAAAATTAAGGATATTTTATTGTTTTCAGGAGTTCAGTGGTTCAGGTTTACTGTGTCCATATTGTTCCCATAGGTTCTGTAATAGGTCGTCTTTAAACCAACATCTACCTGTTCACACTGGAGAAAAGAAGTTCCAATGCACTAACTGTGAACGTCGATTTACGCAGTCCAGTAGTTTGTACAAACACATGAAATTCTCTTGTATTAGGCAGTAATATGTGTGACCAAACATTAAAATAAACTAATTTAAAATAATTTTTTTTTCAAAATTAAATATTTCAGGCTGTCGTGCCAGGAATGACTTGTCCGGTTTGTCATCGTGTGTTTGCCAGCAATTCTGTACTCAACCGACACATGCCTGTACACACCAAGGAGAAGAAGTTTGAATGTTCTAAATGCGGGAAAGCGTACACACAATCCAGCAGTATGTACAGACACCAACAAACCTGTTACAACTAAACTCTTCACTGTAATCTCTGGTTGAAATGCACTGTATAACCCCGGGTGCATGTTATTGTATTAAATGATCGATAAAATGATCGCAATATATATTTTAGATTGAGCTGAATGGTATTGCAGTTGTTGGACAATCCTTCAGTAAATCCGAGCCTGGCGCTACTGTCTGTATGTACTGCATGAAGGATTGTAAGACTCCAAGCCTTCTTGTACGGCATATTACTGTACATACCAAGGAGAAGCACTATGTTTGTGAATGTGGGCGAGGATACACTAGACCGGATAGGTTTAGGAAGCATATTAGTGGATGCGTAGCGTTCCAACGATCTCAACAAAATACATCTAACTAACATTGTAATTGTACACTATCAATTATACATTATCTGTGCATATATGTTTAAGTAAAAGCACATAATCTTTATAATAAAACAAGACATTCGTAAATATGTTCCCTATAGCCTGCCATTCGGTATGACCGAATGGGCTGACATTTTTTTGTGGACACTCATGGGTAGCCTGGGGGTGACAATGGCAAAAAAACTAGCTGAAGGCAACTCCGTGGCCTTCAGCTAGTTTTATATTATCTACTTTCAATTCAATATAAGTTTTTATTGTATTTACTAGTAGATATTTATTTTTATTTTAAAAGCCTACTTTTAATTCTTTCAGTATCTCATCTTTGTTTATGTAAATACTAGGCTTCAATTTTAAGCTTTGATTGTTGGTCTTTTATCGATTTTTTTTCGTGGATTTAAAAAAACGAAACTTTTAAAAGGCAAAGTTTTTCCAATTCTTGCCATCCAAAAACCTTCCCTGAGGTCGCGAGAGGTCTCACAAAAAAATTGGACTTGCTTTAACGTTTATCGGTTAAAAGCAAAGTATATACATAGATTTAGATTGTTTTAACGTGTATGAACTAGGTTTGCTAAAAACAGTTTTGTAGATGTTTTATATTTGATAATTCAGTTTTGAATAAATTTTACATTCTGAACGAGAATTATATATATTTTATTAAAAAAATCGTATTTTTTATTTTACCATTATTTTTTATTAATTATCAATATTTTTTTATTAGTTGGAGAGACGGTTCCGATGTAGCATTTGTGGAAAAGGGTTTCCCTACCAGAGTAAACTTGACCAACACTTCATAACTCACACGGGGCAGAAGAACTTTGAGTGCACTAACTGTGGGAAAAAGTTCACTCAAGGTGGAAGCTTAAAGAAGCACATGATGAAATCCTGCCAAGCTATAAAAGACGTATATGTAAACGATATGGTGTCATGATTTAATGAATCAAGTTGTTAATCAAATAAATGGCGTACACTAAAATAGTACTTATTAGTTATTTATTATCAACACCAATTATGTAATGTTTTAGGACTCCTCGAGGAAGAAATATGAATGCCCCGTGTGTGGAAAACGTTTTATAACTCCATCCAAGCTAGCTAGTCATCTAGTGGTTCACACGGGTGAGAGAAACTATCGTTGCAATCACTGCGGGAAGATGTTCACCCAAAGTGGAACTTTAAAGAAGCACATGATAAAATCCTGCCAGGCCATGAAAGACGCCTATGGAAGCGATATGGTGTCCTGATTTAACTAAGTTTTTGAAAATAAATGGCCTACACTAAAATAGTAATTAATGAAGTAAAAAAAAATGATCAAAAAGTTTAATTAATAATGTTTCAGGACTCCTCGAGGAAGAAATATGAATGCCCCGTGTGTGGAAAACGTTTTATAACTCCATCCAAGTTAGACGTCCATCTAGTGGTTCACACGGGAGAGAGAAACTATCGTTGCAATCACTGCGGGAAGATGTACAGTACGGCAGGTGTACTGTCCCGGCATTTGCGTAAAACTACATGCGGACTCTTCTCAAATAACTTGGAGACGGAGTTTAAAGACGGAATGACGTCATAAAATTTTCGTTTTTTTAACTTTAGTTATTAATGGATTTTGGACTTATTTTACGATTTTATAATAAATATGTACAGCATGACGTAGACAGTTAAATGATTTTATTTTAAATGTTTCTCATGTTCAGGTTGGAAGCAAGTATACATGTACTGTGTGTGGGAAAGCAAATTCAACTCCGTCAAAACTAATTCAACACATGGTTGTTCACACAGGAGAACGAAACTTTCCATGTGATATCTGTGAAAAAAGATTCACACAAGCAAGCGCCCTGAAAAGACACCGAAATAGTGCACATTTTCCTTAATTTTATCAAATATACATCACAAAATAAATGTTCATGTTTTAATTGTTTATCTGTGTTTGCTTGTGATCTTTACAAAAATTAAGTCACATTTTTACTTTAGGTGCGAGGTCACAGATGCACATTATGTGCTTTATTATGTGCAACTCCCTCAAAGTTGGAACAGCACATGGTTGTACACACAGGAGAGAAGAGGTTTGAATGTGATGTCTGTGGGAAACGGTTTACACAGTCGGGAGGTCTGAACAGACACAGGAATACTCTTCACAATGTTCAACCGACTGTAGAATAAAATATTTGAATATAAAAGATTTTTTTTCGAGACGGGATGGGGGGGGGATTTATGGTAAATTTTTATTGATTTAGGTTAAACCTTATTATTTTCAGGAACCCGCGCACACTTGTCGACACTGTGGAAAGCTATTCAGTTCCGCGCGCGGCATGCGGGAGCATGCTGTAGTGCATACCGGAGAGCGTAACCATGTTTGTGGCGGATGTGGGAAAACATACTCTCATAGAAGTGGGCTGTGGAAGCACACTTCCAAGACAGGATGTGGTGCAGACCTCTCAAATGTTTAATGACAATATTTTTAATAAAATGACATAAATATATTTTAACAAATATGAAATTAGTTTTTTTGGTGAAATATCCTGATTTGATTTATTCCTTCTTTTTAAAAAAATGTTAAACTTTTTGATTTGCATGATTTTATGATTTAGGTGGATCGAATTTGTTCATACTGTTCTCGTCAGTTCCCCAGCCCATCAGCTCTTATTCAACATCTTCCAGTTCATACAGGGATTCATTCATTCATGCGTTCAGTCTTTAATTTAATTCATTTATCCTTAATTTATTTATACTTATTCTTTTTAATTTATCCTTTAATTTTATTTATTTATCATTAATTTAAATAATTTACTTTATCCTGTAGTTCATTTTTTTTAATCCTTAAATTCATTTCATTTATATTCTTAATTATTTATTAACTTATCCTTAAATACGTTTCATTTATCCTGTAATTCAATTTTTTTAAATTTATTTATTTTTAATTCAATTCATTTATCCTCAATTTATCCTATAATTCATTTCATTTATCTTTTATACATTACATTCTTTATTCATTTCATTTGTCCTGAAATTTCATTTATTAATCCATTAATTTATCCTTTAATGCATTTTATTTATTCTTAATTCACTTTATCTACCTTTTATTCAATTCATTTATCCATTAATTCAATTTATTTAATTCAATTCATATTCATTTCATTTATCCTTTGATTGAATTCATTCATTACTTTTCAATCATTTTTATTTTGTTTTTATCATTTCTTTTCTTTATCATCTATTCGTTATTTACATTTGGCATTTGACATATCAATATCATGCCATTTTTCCAGATTGAAAACAATTTTTGATATTAATAAAAGAGGGAAAATAGTTAAAAGAATCTATCAGCAAAAATGAGGAAATGGTTGTAGGAGAACGTGTGTTTGAATGTAGCGGATGCAGCAAACGGTTTAAAAGATCCAGTCACTTGTACAGACACATGAGAAACATTTGCAAACTACAGCTAGGACAATAGAATGTACAATCATGTTGCATATAGTAGTTAATTGACTTAAATTGAATAAAATGGCGTAGGAAATCCCGTTTATTACTTGAGTGTTTAATTTTCCCTATTTTAGGTTTGTGGTGTGTGTGGGAAACAGTTTAGCCAACGGCAGAACTTAAACATACACATGAGAATCCATACCGGGGAGCGACCGTTTGTCTGTGACATTTGTAAAAACAGTTTCAACCACAGTTCAAACTTGAACCGTCATATGAAAAATGTTCATGCTGACATCATCAATTTAATTAAATGAATAATGTATATAAATCTGCTAAATATATTATTATCTAAACTTATGTATTCAACTCAATTTTTCACAATTCAGTTGAGACTTTAAACTCTCTTATAGATTTTGGAGCTCAAAGCAATTGGTTTTATTGAACTGATTTTGGATTATATTTTGATATTAGACACTAGTTAATATTATGACTGTTGCAGGAATGTGTGTGTCCGTTGTGTGGAAAAGGTTTCAGTACTAAATACAATCTAAAAGTGCACACTAGGAAATCAGACCTGATTGATTAATTGATAGATTTCTGTTAATTTGTTAAATTGGATTTAGTACAGTGATGACCATAAAACTCTGAAAAAGGAAGATTACTTTTAACTTAAAGTTATGACTAAGAAAAGTCCATTGAACATGAGACACAGCCCAGTTACGTAGTGTACAAATACCCATTTTAAAGTGTTAAGATAAGTTCTAGTAAGTGATTATATAAGTTACAAGTAAAACTCTTTGCTTTGTTATATCAAAAAATAGACTTAATTATTGCTTAAATGTCGTCTTCTTATTTTAAAGTTTTTGTTCTCACTGAATGATGTTTAGATAAGCAACTAATTTGACGCTTGTTGACTTAGCAGTAAGATTGTTTAAAATTGATATTTCCGCGTTAATGAAAGATTCATTGAAGATTTATGTTTTTATTTTCTTTTTGAATTGATTTTGCGGGTTGAACAATTGATACACATGGTGCTCCACATCATATTATACCATCAACTTAGCTTTTGGAGTGTACTGCAGTAATCTGCCGTACACTAATCGAAGAAAGTGTAGGGTTCAGTAGACAGTGACTACATCGTATATAGCTCTAAATTAAGTTTTTCGGGACTGATCAGAAAATTAAAAAAATGGAGATAATCCAATATGATGTGGGACGGTATGTACATAATGTTTGAGTCTGATTTTAATGTGAAGGACTGTTCACGAGAATTTGAAGCAGTATCGCTGTATGCTCTGCAGCAGGGAGTTCACCCAGAATAGTAGTTTGAACCGACACATGCGAAGTAACCATTCAAATCTAGGAGAACCGACTCTAGACCACATTTGATTAATTAATCAACTGATATTGTTAATAGTTGTAAAAATTGTTGATACAATAAATGTACATAATGTTATATAGCACGATAACTTATAAATGGATCTATGTATTCTAATAAGATATATATTTCTTATTATTATGGCATGCTGGCAATGCATGCTGGGGTGGAAGGAAGTGCTATCTTACAGCTGGTGATGGAATTAGGTGAAAGGCTAAAATATATTCGTCCCCCCCCCCCATTCTCCCCTGACACCGTTGATTTTGACAATTTTATTAACATTTTAATGAGATTACTACTTTCTTGGACAACGTTTTATAATATTGCAAATAAATATAAATTTAATATATCAGACTAATTTATCCGTACTTAGACGATTTTTCTTTTTGCAAATTTAACTCTGTTCCCATCCCCCCCCCACCCCCCCGCCATCCCATCCCGTAAGGTATTCCTTAACTAAGCCTATATATATGTGTGTAGGAGGAGGTTAAAGGCGAAGACGACCTTGGATACAAGTTCCTTATGGATATCAAGGATGCTGACTCCTACTCTTGTGACATGTGCAACAAATCCTTCACCACCAAACATAATCTGCGAGCACATTGGCGCGTCCACTCCGGAGAAAGGCCTTTTATCTGCCCCTTGTGCAGTAAGGCGTTTAAGCAGAAAGCACATATGAACAAACATATTCAGTCGCACAAATTCTAAACGTATTTCGTGCGTAAAAGAAATTTTTAATTTTTTGTCTAATTCATACCAACATCGTTTATTTTAATCGTGTATTTGGTTGACTTCATGTTATTAATGTTAAACTTAGTATATAATTTTACATTTTTATCTTGCTCAATTAATAATATTTTTATATACATTTTTTTATCATTTTATATTTTTTCAGTGCTAATCTAATGTGATCCGAAAATTTGATGAAATAAATAACATTTAACAAATATTTTTTTTCTAATTCAGTTAATAATATTTTTCGATTTTGTTTATTTCTTTTATTTACTTTAGGGTTTTGGTGAAGAAGAAATGCGCCTGATGGGTTTGATAAATGAGGATGAAGGAAAAGGGAAGAAGAGAAGAAGAAACGGCGGAGGAAACTGTATTTGTATTGTCTGTGGGAAAGCAACGAGGGATAAGTACAATCTGAACCGACACATGTTAACTCACTCCGGTAGACAAGGTGAAAATTCAAGATTATATTTTACAAAAAAAAATTGGTTCAATAATTATTATTTTATTTTAGGGGTTAAACCTTATTCTTGTGATATTTGTATTCCTGTTAAAGGATACTTTGATACAACACAGCTCAGGTTTGTAATTTTTTATTTGTTTTGAAATTTTTGAAATCTTAGAGTTTTTAAAGAAAGTGTGAATATTCTGGATGGTGAAAATGACTGAATCTGAAAACATTCGAATTATTTTTTTTGCACATATGGTCAATAGTTATGTTTTATGATGATGATTTATTTATCTACGATCGATAAATTGAGATAAATGTTTTTCAATCGGACTGAGTTTAATCAATCTGCATCAAAATTTTCGGGCAAATCTTATTTTTTCTACGTATCACAATTTGAACTATGGTAAAATTTTGGTTCAAAATTGGATTGTGCTGTGTCACACAAACAACACGATATTTACGTCCCGCGTAAGCTTTTGAATTAAAGAGGGTTCCAGTGATTTCAAACACAGATTTTTACATTCGGCGTCCCGCCGTCGGGGATGCGTTGTCAAACGGTTAAGGATAATATGGTTACAGCAATGAAACTGCCAATTTTTTGTTTGACGTTTTACGTTCACAATATCTACGTAAGAAAATGAACAAAAAAATATGTTAAAATATATTTATTTTCTTTAGGAACCACATGAAATCAAAACATCCGGACATCCAGCTCTCATAAACAAATGCAAGAAACCATAGCTTCCAGATAGAAGATACCATAGATAGCTTCTAGATACAATATACCATAGCTTCCTGACATAAGATGCTATAGCTTCCGGACATAAGATACCATAGCTTCTGGATATAAGATACCATAGCTTCCGGATATAAGATACCATAGCTTCCGGATATAAGATACCATAGCTTCCGGATATAAGATACCATAGCTTCCGGATATAAGATA